TTCCTGCTTGCCATCTCCTTAGCCATTTGCATTAAATTATTTTATCAAAAGTTCAAGTGTATGGTCATTTTGTAGTCTGTAGTAGGAAAAAAGAAAGTGAAATGTGTAGTAGATATGAGAGAGAACTGGTACTCAATAGAATGCTTGTCGAAGTATTGAATGAGTGGCAGCTGCTCTGTCATCTGAGTATTAGAAGGGACCATTGTTCTCTGTTTCAAACTGTGACATCATGACTCCATGTCCATGTAACCAATAAAATGAAATAGTTCCACACCAAATATTTCCCTCTTTAAATGAACCTTAAAAACAGTTTGAGAACTGTAATTTAATGTTTAGATTATGTCCTTGAATTTAGCAACCCTACATCATATCCTTCATTCTCTCTTGTTCCTGATGACTCCGCAGCAGGGTATGAGGACTCCTGGAGGGGCACACAAGGGCTGGACCACTTCCCAGTTCCTGAACAGTTTGGCAGCAGTTTATAGTTCCATCTCACTGTCAAGCCTGGTTCCATAACTCGTGATTAAACTTCTTAGTGTGCCACAACTTCCTCCTATAAATACTTCCTGCAATGGACCTTCTATTGGCTTATTTTATTAATTGGAAGATGATACCCATACTCCTGTTTATTTCTTCCCAATACCCTGTGGCTGTCCTGTCTGCTTAGACTGCAGATCTTCCAGGAAGGAACCATCTACTCTTGTGTTAGTAGGAGGTTAGCACTATGGGGCTCTGATTTTGTTAGGTCTCCAGGCACTACCATAACATTCAATATATTCTATATTCTGTCTCCCTTAAATTGACTTATTTCTCTTATAAATAGATATGCTTATAAATAGATATGTGTATGATATTCCTTTTTTCCTGAAAAAAGTGTAATTGGAGGTACAGCCTATCTTAGCAGGTCCATTACCCTCTGCTGCTTAGTCTATGCTCTTTGGGGCTACACCTGCCTACACTTTCACATTTATATCTCTTTATCAGACACACAGTTTCTAGGTACAGTCAGCTACCCTTTCAATATTTCAGTGTCTTTCTCTCTATGACTCCAGAAAAATACCACTTGAAACCCTCTCTTCTTACTTCCACATCTGTCTCTCTCCACTCCCTTAGCCCTTCAAGGGAGCCTCTTATTTTTATCTCCTTTCATCCATCTCTTAACACATCAACTACCTATTTCACCTAATAAACTAAGACATTTTAGGGTGCCACTCATTTATGAGCTCCCATCTATGCTGCATTAGAATGAGTGTGCTGCCATAACATCTACAAGATGTACGCTATGAATCACAATATGTGTCTGGATGATTATTGACAGTAACTTTATGATTATTTGCAGTTTTTATTCCATCATTGGTAACTGCACTGGTAATGTGGGTATTTCTTCTGTATTTGTCCATCCATTCTAATTCCTCTGTCTAATTTCTCCTTCAAGGTAAATAATTACAGTTTAGAAGAAGTAACACACGAAGAAGCAGTTGCGATACTGAAGAACACATCAGATGTAGTTTATCTAAAAGTTGGAAAGCCCACCACCATTTACATGACTGATCCTTATGGCCCACCAGATATTACACACTGTAAGTGGCTTATTGTATATTGGTTTAAGAGACTAAATGTGTCTTTTTAAAGGCTAGGGCTTGGAAGGTTGAAAAAAAACGAACTATTAGATAAGATACTGTCATGATATGGCATACCTAAAGTACAAAAACTCAGATATAGTGCTGTTGCTTGGACATATACAGCAAAAAGTAACAAGTAAGTGTGTTACTTTGCTCACTCCCCTTGCTATTGTTGAAGTAAAAAGAATGGTAACATTTTGTTATTAATATTTTTTTAATGTAAAAACATTTTCAGAAAGGTCCTAGGTTAGCAGATAGAGAGCACTGTCAGACAGGGTGGTGGTGGGAAACACTCTTTACTGGAGCAGCAGTGCGTTAGTTCAAACTGGCTCCTCAACATCTGTATAAATTGGGTACTTTAGTGGGGCTTTTCTGGTGCTTTTATCCAATAGCTGATTGAATCAGCTATTAGATAGAAGTGCCAAAAAACCCCACTGAAGCGACCCATCAGTTATGACAGTGGGTGAGCCGGGTCCAACTAATGAGATGCCTCTTCTGGGCATGCCCTGGGCTCAGTGTGGGAGCGTGCTGAGTTTTAAGTAAAGTTCTCTGTCTCAAAAAGCCCTGAGGAAGTGCATTTGAACTTGCAGAAAAGTTGTTCCATTGCACAGGTCCAGAAGCAGGTCCTTTGTTATCATCCTACTTGCACCCTATTCACAATGCATCCATCTCACTTATATATATTCATCTGCTCCTTCATGACCCCAAAATGTGGCAAGGCTTCCCTTCACATCTAGTGCATCCCTCCCACCTATACCTGTAAATTCTGGCTCAGCTGCTTTCCTGCAACTCTTTGCCTCCATATGCTAGCTGGTCATTAAACACTCCTGGATGTGGGGTCCGCCCTCAGTTCTCCCTGAAAATCTCTATACCACTTCCAGGGAACTCCTGAGAGTGCCACTGCACCTGCCTGCTCCTGTTTTTTATGCAACAGGAGAAACCAGCTGAGACACCAACCTGAAGGATCCTCCAAGCCTTCCTCTTCCACAGCCCCCATTCTTAATCTCTGTGTGGTAAGTGGGGCTGCCTGAAGAGCAGCTTCACTGCCTTAGTTCTGGATTTGGGTTAGGTAGGAGAAGAGTTGGGTGGGCTCGGGATGTGCTTCTCAGGAGCACTCTCAAGAGACCATGGAAGAGGTAAAGATTTTCCTACTGATTTCCTCACTTGGCAGTGAGTAAGGAAGGGGAAGCAGTAAGGAAAGTAAGAGTAAGGAAATGAGAAGCAGCCTGACTGATTCGAGCTGAAGACAAGCTGGGAGTATGAAGAACTTAACTGACCCATACCTGTACTGGGCAGCTGCCAGAAAAGTTGTGGTCCGTGGAGGTCAGGAAGCCAAAAGGCTGGTTAAGCTAGAGTTCCTAGTAGAAATCAAAGATTAGATATATCTGATTTCTGCATCCCTGCCCCTCAGCCCTTTCCTCACATGCTAATACTCCCAGCTGCCTCTATTTGGGAGACAAGTTTTGCAACGTAGGTTTTGTACCGTGCATATTTAGGCAGTACACCACACTGCCCCAAGACCACCTGTTCATTTAGCAGATGCTCCTAAACAGCCAACAGATGGCAGTGATATTTGTTCACTACCAATCTGGGCTGGTTTCTTAGCAGTGCCTATGAAGTACAAAAGCTCAGCATCTCCTTTCCAACTGCCTGTATTATCTGATCCTCCCAAATGCTATTTCAGTAATCATGAAGCAGCGTGTAGTGTTGTGCCAGAGAAGTGATCAGCAGCATAGGGGAAAAGAGGAAGCAATTCTGGAGGGAAAAGAAAGCTGGAAAAGATTTTCAATAACACATACCCAAGTTGTCAGGGTAGACAGATTCATTTATCCTATGGGAGTCTTTCATGAGACCTACATGTTCAGAATATCTCAGAGCAAGTAATGGCATTTCCCCATAGAGCTATTTTGTCTTGAAACATTTAATATCACAGCATCTACAAGAAGGACCAGAACTATGACTAGAAAGTTTAAACATCTCCTTTTCAAAAGGGAATTAATCATAGCTCAGTGGCACAGCATGTGTCTTTGTTTTTCTTCCTTACAATTTCCTTTCCTCTAATTACACTGACTAGAGGTTGGGACACAACCTTTATTACATATTTCCAGCCATAAATATCCTCATTATCTTGAGAATGGTAAAAATAAAGAGGAGGCAAAGACTGCAGCCTTATAAAATTGTCATTGTTAATCGTTAGCCTGTGTCACATTTATATTAACTTTCTTCCTTTTTAACTAGCTTTACCGGGATCTAAATTATGACGCAGTCTAGGCTTGCATTAACATTTCAATTTTAGTGAGAACTTTGGCATCTAACTCCCTTAGGCTCCTTTTGATAAATCAAGGCTCTAAACTATAATTTCTGCCTTGCCTAAAGTACCTGCATGGCTCCATCCCAAACCTAATCCCTCAGCTGGTCTCTTGTTTCAATGCTCCCGCTATACAGCAAAGCCAGAAAGCTTACATTTCCTATCTCCCAAGCCACCCTTTCTCATTCAGATCCTTCCTAAAGATCCCTTTGTTTCATAATGTCCGCATAAAATGAGTCAACAGCAAGTGTTACTTTTTTCCACCCCAAAGTCTAAGCTTTCATTCACTGTCTTGCTTTGATTAAGGAGGGATTGTGTATTGGTGCTTAAATAGAAATGATACTGTGGCAGCCTGATCAAATGAAACTGTCCCTAACACCAGTTTATTTTAACCACCAGCTTATTCTCCACCCATGGAAAATCATATACTCACTTCTGGCAACAATGGCACTTTAGAGTACAAATCGTCTTTGGCCCCTATCTCACCAGGAAGATACTCGCCCATTCCAAAGCACATGCTTGTGGAGGACGACTATACCAGGTCAGATATCTCTCTTTATACATTGCTTTTTTGGTGAAAATTGCAAAGAACATTGTTACAACAGTAATGGAGTACTCGGGGCAATACGTGGATTGGCCTTACTACATGAGAATGAGACAGCCAGTTTTATCCATTTAAAATGGTTTCCAAGCAGATAGTTAAGGTGGAAAGTGCTGTTTTTTCCTGCGTTTCAGTCAAGTGTCACTGATGAGACAATTTATATTTTTCTTTCTTGTTTGAAGGGCGGTTAGAATATTGATCACACTGCCATCCACCTACAAAAGGCTACAATAGTCAAGTGTGTGAAATGAGATTTCATTATGCTGTCTGGTAAGACAGGGAAATGAAAATTGTACTTGTTTTCTTCAGTATATTTCCATTTTCAGAGGTTCAGAGTGTTTAAGGCTGAAGGAACTTAGGCAGGTCCCCTGCAGAGCACAAATCACAGAATTGTGTCCAGTGACTTTAGTATGAAACCCATAACTTTTATCCATTTCCCTTTTGCTCTGGCAAATCTTCAAAATCTCTTAAACTGCCTGATTTGTTGGGTCAGATACATTCAAGGGAATGATTTTCATTAGGATTTAAAGTGTATGAAAACCAGACCTCTGCGTCCTCTGTTGGATAGGAAAGCAACAGCTCCTTATATCTTCCTGCCATCCCCTCCCCCCCTGCTCCTGTCATTGGCTATGCAGAGATCTCTTTAACCAAAAGTAGGAGTTTCTCTAAAGATAAGTTTAGCTGCAAGTGTTGACTTTCTGTGGAAGTTTCTTACCTACAATCATGTTCTTTTCATTAATAGTTGGAACACGGATTTAATCAAATTTCCTGTCAGTGCTTTCTCTGGGTTAATCCCAGTTTCCCTGGTTCTTAACTGTCTTAGCACATAACAGAGTAGTATTGTCAGAGTAGTTCTTGTCAGCAGAGCATATGGGGCCAAATTCAGCTTTGGTGTTACTGTGCCTTGGGAGGGAGCTGTAGTAGGAGAGGAGGGAAGCTCTATTGGGCAAATGGAAGAGTCTGCTGAGAGAGCAGTTATCAAGTACTGGAGGCCAAGAAGGTACAGAGGGTAAAGAAAGGAATTAGGAAGGAATGGAAAGTCACAGTGAGCTTGAGAATGGAAACAGTGGCTATGTCCACATGAGACACTGACCGCACAGTTGTTATTGCAGTCATTTAGTACTTGCATATCCAAGTCCTAAATGACTGCGCAGTAATCAGCGTTACTGTGCAGTAGCATTCCTTCATGGCTTTCTGGTGATGGTGACTGCACAGTAGCTTGTTACTATTGCGCAGTAGCATTGCATCACATTTCATGCTACATGACACGACTGTGCAGTAGTACTGAGCTGCTGTACAGTAGTAATGAGCTACTGCTCAGTAAGCATCTTGTGTAGACGCGGCCAGTGAGAAGCTATAAAAAGAAGATTGATTCCTGAGTAGCCCTGTCTTTCCTTCCATCTCTTCAAAAGTTTGCAGCTGATCTTGTTGGACCCAGACCCTTGGTCATGGCAATCCACTCATTTGTCACCTCCAGGATTGATCATCATAACTCATGTTTAGGAACACACCAACTGCTGAAACTTCCTTAGCCTGATGAAGGGTTTTTGAACCGGAAAGCTTGCTTAATAAATGTTTTCCAACTATTTAAGTTGGTCTAATAAAAGATATCCGATTCACCCAAAGAACCTTGGCCGCCTGCGTCCTTAGACCAACACGGCTACAACCTACACCCCTGATTAGGAATGAAATGTGAAATGTCTCGCCTTGCTTTGCAGTAGGGCTGATTGATTATTTTTGACAAAAATTCACTTATTGACAAAGGTGCTTTCAGTCACCCCTAGCACTGATGGTGATCTGGGTAGAATTCGTTAAATAGTTTTTGCGGGGAAGGTCATGCTCAAAAAATGGAGGATAAGAAAGAAAGGGCAGTTATACAATGCCATCCTTTTACATAGCAGCCCAATGACTGAGACACACACCCATGATTTGGGACTCTGAGGAGATAATATACTTATATGTCTAGTGGAGCAGTTAGTGGAATCCACTGATTTCCACACTCCCCCCCCGGTGGAGTGACCTGACTACTGATTATAGAAGCGTCTCTTTCTCTCTCTTCCTCTCTCTTTCTGCTTCATTGACTAAGTACTTTATACAAAGCAAAGTAACTTCACTGGGAGATTGAAGGAAATGTTTGGGTATGTTTTTTATCTGAAACATTTGGTTTTGTTTTGTTTTGTTTCGATTCGGTGAGAGGGGGAAAAATTAATTTCAGTGTAAATCAAACCATTTCCTCCTCCCCGTTTTCAGTTTGGCCACTGAACTGAAAAATCAATTATTTGCAGAGCCCTGCTCTGAAATGAGATGTTCACAGCCACTGGAATTGTGTACTGTTTGGAAAAAGGAACAATTAACACAAACAGAGCTGTTTATCTGCTTAGCAACAAAGGTTGCCATGAAAACATCATCCCAGTATTCCTTTCCCTGTACTGGCTCTGAATATAGTATCCAAGTCAGGTCTGAAATTCAAAGTGCTCTCTGATACTGGCACCAGTACATTAAAAAATGGTTTCTCTCTTCATGCCCTCCTATGACAAGTTGATGTCATTGGAACAATTGATGTCATTGGAACAATAAAGCTATCAATCAGAGCAGCAGGAGAGACTCATGAATGTGACACAACTAATCAAACCAAAATACATTAACACTAATCAAGCATTTACTGCAACCTGCAAAGGAAGACCGTTTCTAGGAATAATGTCAAACAGTCATTATGCTGCGAGGCTATGAGGATATGATCTGGATAAATGCCATGCACAGGATACATTGTCTTGTGCAGTAGAAAAGCCTCAAAAGTTCAAATTTTTGTTGCTGGATGTGTTTAGGTAATACCTAGCATCTACATGGAGGCCTGTAAGATGCATTTACATGGTCATTAATGTGCCGTAATTACCGTGCATTAAGTTTAGCACCTGCAATAACAGGTGATAATTTAATACGCCATAATTGGCGCTACTGCCCATTCACACAGATGAACACTTTTTAAGTGACGTTTAATGCCCATTGGACTAATCTACTGTGCATTAGCACATTAACATGGCTTTGCCAGCCACGCTAATGCACAGTAGAAATAGTCCAATAGACATTAAGTATCTCATGTAGATGCGCCCACAGAGAAGATGATGAGGTCCAGCAAACTTTATACTAGGAGTCAGGAGGTCCAGCTTCTGTTCTTTCTTTTCCTGCTGGGTTGCCTTTTGATTTGAAGTGGGAAATCACTTAACCCATTGATCACTTACAGTAGTCTATTTAAACATGCCCCACCCATGAGCTTAAATTAAACATAGGCATAGTGATGTAACTAAGACCAAGGGACCAGGGCATCCCCCAAGTTCTGACATGGGTAGGGGTGGAAAAATGTGTAAACTGGAGATCCTGTTGGTCTTTCTTTTATAAAGGGTTTGTAATGTTCAGATGAGACTCAGCCTCTATTTGTTGCTAGAAAATTTACCAATATTGTAAAATTTTGGGGGAATTTTGGAAGTCTGGCAAAACAACTGGAGGAGCTGTGGAGGAAATTTTCTTTCATGAAAAATCCGTTGATTACAGCATTTATAATTGAACCTTTTCCAAAACTATTTCTGTAATGGCAGTAATATCCACGTGTGTGTGTGTGTGTGTGTGTGTGTGTACATACACACACACACACACACACATATATATATGTATATACACACAAATACACATATGTATATGTGTATGTATATATGTATATACACATATATACGTGAGGTCTTTCCAAAAGGCCACAGTTGCAACATTATATGGTAACCAGGTCATAAGGAATTGTATTTCCGAATAACGTTGTCATAATGTGACAGTGCTGCTGGTAGATTTCCACATCATTTTTATGAGTTAGAAATATATGGAATAGTACAACCTTTTCTGTAACTGGGGTATACAGTTCAGATATTTGTATGACTTGTGAGAGAAACTGATAGCAAGGGGTTTTTTTACTTACTCATTGTTAAAAAAAATTCTGTTGTACAGTTTAAATACTTGAGCATTTCAAGTGCTTGAATTTTTCCCTATTTTAGTATTAAGTTTTACTGATGTGAATAGTATCATTTTACACAAAAAAAAGTATTTCCCTTGGATAAAAATTAGCATTTTTGTTAAATCACTTAAATTAGTAAATTCAGTGAAACCTTTTCTTAGCAATAATTTTGAGAACAAATTAGTTAAGCTGTAGCATATTGGGAGTAAAGATAAAACAAAGGTCACCTTGATCTGCCTGTGACTTGATATTGAATATTGTATGCCTATTACTGTGATTTCTCTGGTTACGGATGGCAAATGGCACGAATTAAGAGCATTATTTTATTTTTATTCATCGTTTTACTGAGCACATATTAAAAAGAACCAGTATTTACATCTTTATCATTCTCTTCCATTATTTTTTTTAATTTATTGTAAAGATAATCATATGATAGTTAAATAATATAACTCAATTTCAAACTAGTAGAATATGTGACAAAAAATATATTAAAAACTTACATGCCAGTAACTATAAGTATCCATGCAACCTTCTGTATTCCGGAAATAAGTTCTTATTTAAATAGGCTTCTATTAAATTGGAAGAAAAGACACAATCTGGCCTTGATGGCATTTTTGGGACATTAATTACTCTGAGGGAGCTGTAAATCATTATTTACTCTCTAGCAGACATCTGGCTCCCTATTTTTGGAAAATTGAAATTATATTCTAACAAATTCTGTAGTTCTCAGATGTTCACTTTTTCTAGCATTAATGAAAGAGAGAGAATCAGGGGATCCACAAAAGTAAAGACTTACTATGTTGTGTTTTTACTTCCTTTATAACTTCAGAAAACTGAGGCATCAAATTGCTTGCACACCAGCTGATATAAACTTCACTGTTAACACTTAGCTGTGGCTAGATATTAAAGATTCATAGGGAAAAAAGCCATCTGATTTATCTGT